CACCCGGCTAATTTTTTTGATTTATTGTAGAGACAAGGTCTCGCCATGTTGCTCAGGCTGGTCTCGAACCCCTGAGCTCAGGCAATCCTCTTGCTTCCACCTCCCAAAATGCCGGGATTACAGGTCTGAGTCACGGTGCCCAGCAAACCCCCATCATTTCATTTCTGACGTCACTATTACCATTGTTCTCATCACACCAGAACAGATACTCATTCATTCATTCATCCAACTACTATGGTCTGAACATCTTTTATTTATTTACTTATTTATTTTTTGAGTCAGAGTCTCACTCCGTCGCCCAGGCTGGAGCGCAGTGGCACTCTCACGGCCACCCCAGCATCCACCTGCTGGGCTCAGGCAATCCTTCTGCCTCAGCCTTCCAAGTGAGCCGGAACCACAGGCGTGCTCTACCACAGCCGGCTAACTTTTTGATTTTTTGTAAAGACGAGGTCTTGCCAGACTGCCCGGGCTGGTCCGGAACCTGCGGGCTTAGGCAATCCACTCGCCTCAGCCTCCCAAAGTGCTGGGATGACAGGCTGAGCCACTGAGCCTGGCCTTTTTATTTGAAGGTTATAAGAGCTGGGGAGGGGAATACACCAGGGGAGTTATGGAGAGCCAGGTAGGAGTGAGGGAGTTGGGACTGCAGGTGAGGAGCGTCGGGAAGGGCTGGCTATCTCCATAACAAGCCGTTGGCCTTATGACTTGAGGGAGGCCATTTCCTCCAGAGGCAGCCCCAGCAGCAGGTGCAAAGACCCTGGGGCAGAAGTGTCTGATGGGAAGGGGTAGCAAGAAGGCGAAAGACTGGAGAGAAGCACTCCGGCCCTCGAGGGTGGGATGGGAAGGCTGCAGGCTCTGAGCAGAGGGGGAACACGCCCAGCGTCACTAACGGACCTCTCATAGCTGCTCTGCAAACGCCCGACTCGCAGGGGTCCAGGGCCCAAGTAGCTGCCATCTCCTCGCCTGCCCAGAAGTTCACGGGCGCTTCCTCTTCCCAGGTCAAGAAGGTCCATTTCGACACCCAGGAGCACGGGCCCCAGGCCATCCCGGGGCTAGAGCCTAAGGACCTGCCCCTGCTTCACCAACAGCAGGGCAAGGGCTCACTGGAGTGGGAGAACTTCCGATATGTAAGTGGTGATGCCAACTGGCCCGGGGAGCCCCACCTGCCTCCTCCTTCCTCCTCAAGACAGGTGCTCTGCTGACTCACCCAGGAAAGACTGGGGAGAGCAAAGGACTTGATATTGGATGTTTCCAGGCCAGCACCAAAGTGGTCCTTGGGGTGCCAGGAGCCTGAGCTCACGCCAGTCATCCCAGCACTTTGGGAGGCTGAGGTGGAAGGATCGCTTGAGCCTGGGCGTTCAAGACCAGCCTGGCCAATATAGGGAAACCTCATCTCTACAAAAAAAAATAAAAAAATGTTCTGCCTATGGTGGTGCGCAGTTATAGTCCCAGTTACTCAGGAGGCTGAGGTGGAAGGATCGCCTGAGCCCAGGAGGTCGAGGCTGTGGTGAGCCATGATGGTGCCACTGCACTCCAGCCTGGGCCACAGAGTGAGATCCCCAACTCAAAAGAAAGTGGACCTCATGGGCTTCTCATGACTTCATGCCCATGTCCCTCCCTCCCCGGTCCCTTCCAGATGCCCGGCGCCCAGGATGATGAATAGTGAAATGGGCATCGCTTCTTCCACCACCCACTCCTCTCACATAGGGCCCCTCCCGGTCGGAGTTCCTGGGCCCCATTGCTCAGTACCAGGAATCCGGTGTAGTGTGTAACTCAGTGTCTGCTGGTACAGGGGACCATGCTGTCCTGGTGAAGTTTCTGGCCCTGTGATGCTCCCCAGGGAGAGATTTGTGTCTGGGGTGCTGTTCTACCCTCTGCCCCAGAATGTGCCACACAGACCTACTCAGCGCACAGACGACCTAGCCACCACCACTACCACCCCTGAACGCCTCTCACCTCCTGGTCTGCTGTGCGTCCCCATGCCTCCACCCTCTGTTCCAGGGCCCACGCTTCATGACCTCGGAGTACAATTCCAGGTATCTCAAGGAGCCACTAAACCAGCCAGGTAGGCTTGGGTCTGAACTTATGCCTTCCTCCGGATCCACCTTCCTACTTCCTACCCCAGGAAAGCCCCCTGAGGAGCCCTGGAGCTGGCACAGGACCAAGAAGGCCCCAGTGGGCCTTGCAGGCGACTTGAGGGAACCGCTTCTCCTGGGCTGACCTTGGCACCTCCGGCCTGCCAACCTCGAAGGCCAAGTTGGCTTGCCTGAGGGCTGTGAGGCCTTCCACGGTGGTGCCTGGGCTACTGGCTCTCTCCTGTTCTCTGGCCTGGACTCTGGAGTCCTTGCCCCAGTGTCCACAATCCCCGACCCCTGTGGATCCGTGGAGTGCACTATCTTCCCACCTGCAGGGATATGAGCCTCCAGAAGCCACTGGGTAGGTCCCTGGCAGCACAGGGGAGCTGTCTCTTGCAGATCTCTTGCAGAAGAAATCGATCGGCAGCCCAGAGGAGACCGGCTTCACGGAGGGGTCCAACGTGAATCCCATTGTCTTCCAGCCGCCTTCGCAGGCCGTCCCTGGGGACCCTGTGAGTCTACCCAGTCCCAACTAGACTTTTAGGGTGCTGGGAGCCCTCCGGTCTCAGCGTTTCTAGTTTGTGAAGAGTGTGCGCTGCAGAGCCCATTGCTCAAGCACAAGAGGAAAGATCTTGTGCACAACCACAGCTTGGGTCCAACTCCATGATTTTCTTTCCTTTTTTTTTTTTTTTTTTTTTTGGGTCGGGGTCTCACTCTGTCACCCTGGCTGGAGTGCAGTGGCACCATCATGGCTCTCCACAGCCTTGACCTCCTGGGCTCAGGCGATCCTTCCGCCTCAGCCTCCCGAGAAGCTGGGACCACACCACCACGACTGGCTAATTTTTTTGTTTTTGTGGAAATGAGATCTCACAATGTTGTCCAGGCCGGTCTCGAACTCCTGGGCTCCAGCAATCCTCCCATCTCAGCCTCCCAAAGTGCTGGGATGACAGACGTGAGTCACTGTGCCCGGCCCAGCTCCCCCGTTTTATAGATGAGAAGATTGAGGCTCAAAGAGATGGAGGGGCGTGGCCAAGGTCACTCAGAGTTCGGACAAGAAACCCTGGTGCTGGTTCCCATCCAGGGTCCTCCCTCCTCCCCAGATTCTTCCCTTTCCTGTTACCCCAGGGATGCCCATTCATCTGAGCCCTCCTCTCTGCTCAGTAGTGGGGCAATGGGAGCAGAGAGGGTGGGGGCAACTGGATGACAGGGGCCCACACTGCCTCAGCTGGACTGACACACTCCTCACCCCACCTCGTTCCAGGCTCTCCTCCCAGGCCGGAGTGTCACCAAGTGGGACTTCCTCCCTGTGACTCACCCTCATGTAAGCTGAGCTGGGGGAGGTTGGAAACTGCCTGGGGAAGGGGGTTAGGGCAAGGCTCTGCGAGGGCGATGTGGGGGCAGCCGGGATCTGGTGCCAGTGACTGTCTCACTCCCCCCAGGGAGACGACTTCCTGCCTGTGCTGGCTGGAGGCGCTGAGCGGGAGACAGGCTTCAGCCGAGTGAATGAGAGGACGCTGAACCCCAGAGTGAGTGGCTTTGGCGTCTCGCTCAGAGAAGCAGGGAGGCAGGGAAGCTTCCTGGGCACGGCGGCATTGAAGAAGGGGTAGAATTAGGATATTTGGGGGTGTGGAGGGAGGGCCCCCAGGTGCAGGGTGAGGCCTGGGGCCTGGGAGTGACAGGTGTGTTCTGAATCCAGCAATGAGGCTTGACTGGAGGGTCAGGGTGGGTCTCTGGGGTCGGTGTGTGGCAGGGGGAGCTGCCCGAGCCTCTGCCTGCCTGCCTTCACCACTGCCTCCTCAGCACCCCCATCCCCAGCCTTCCTTCTTGTGGCTCTGTTCCCGGCAGCTGCCCCTTCCCGGCCCAGAACCTGGCAGTGTGAGCCACCGACCGTTCCAGCCACCCCAGCGGTTGCAACAGACAAACGTAGCCCTGCTCGGCCGGGAGACTGTGGGGAAGAAGGTGAGCCCTCCTGTACTCAGCCTCCACCCCGAGTTCCCACTTCCTCCTGGCCTGACACTCCCCCATCTCCTGCAGGAGCCCACAGGGTTCAGCCTAAATAACCCCAGCTACGTCCAGAGCACCTATGACCCCGACAGGGACCATCGGTACCTGACCACCTACAACCAAGGGTGAGGACCCTCCCCATCCCAGAGCTGAAACCCATTTGATGGAGGCTCACAGCCTCGTGGAGAAGATCAAACCCGCTGAATTTGTGGGTTCTCCCAGGAGTGGACCCTAAGCTGAAGATCTGAGCGCATGCACTTTGTGAAGTAGGAGGTGGGGTGGGGGAGGGAAGGCAGCAATAATGAGTGTGTTATTAAACCAGCCTGCTGGAAAACGTGCGAAAACAAGGTAAAACACACAACTCAGAATTATCCCAGCCAAAGGGTTTTTTTTTTTTTTTTGCGTTGGAGTCTCACTCTGTCGCCCATACTGGAGTGCAGTGGCCGCTCCCGGCCACCGCAGTCTCGACTTGCTGGGCTCCGGCGATCCTTCCGCCTCAGCCTTCCGAGTAGCCGGAATTACAGGTGTGCGCTACCACGCCCGGCTGAATTTTTTGGATTTATTGTAGAGATGAGGTCTCGCCTGCCCAGGCGGGTCTTGAACCCGCGGGCTCAGGCAATCTACTCACCTCAGCCTCCCAAAGGCGCGGGATTACAGGCTGAGCCACCGAGCCAAAGGGTATTTATACCCCTAGAGCCACCAGTCATTGGTTAAAGCCTGTCCTCAGGGCAACATTAAATCCCAGGTATTTGGGGGGGGTGACTCATACCTGTCATCCCTGCACTTTGAGAGGCTGAGGCAGGATGATTGCTTGAGCCCAGGAGTTCGAGACCAGCCTGGACAACAAAATAAGACTTTGTCTCTACAAAAAAATAGAAAAATTAGCTGGGCAAGGTGGCATGTGCCTGTAGTGCCAGCTACTCGGGAGGCTGAGGCGGGAGGATCACCTAAACCCAGGAGGTTGAAGCTGCGGTAAGCCATGATTGCATCACTGCACTCCAGCATGGGCAACAGAGTAAGACCTCAGCACAAACAAACAACTCTCCTGGCTCAGGCCAAGTAGGTTCCAGCAACGTAGCTTTCCCACAGAGATGCCATCGTACAGGACGCTGGTGGCCAGACTGGTGGGCACAGAAAGGACAGGAAGGTACAAGGCGGTCTGGAGAAACAGCATCTGCTAAGACCCTACATCCAGTCCATGGTGGGTGGGCTTAAGGCTCCCTCAGAAGGGAAACTCTTCCCTGGGCCAGCACTGGGAGAAGAGTGAGTGTTCTGGGCATCAGGGAGGGCTTCCAGGAGCAAGCGGCCCCAGACCCATGGGGAAACCTCCCAGAACCAGGATTGAGTGGGGAAGGTATCACAGGAGTGGTATAAAGAAACTGTGGGCTGGGTGTGGTGTCTCAGCCTGTCATCCCAGCACTTTGGGAGGCCGAGGTGAGAGGATTGCCTGAGCCCACAGGTTTGAGACCAGCCTGGGCAACTTGGCGAGACCTCGTTTTTACAATAAATAAAAAATATGCCGGGCATGGTAATGCGTGCCTGTAGTTCCAGCTACTTGGATGGCTGAGATGGAAGGATCTCCAGAGCCCAATGGGTTGATGCTGGGATGGCCGTTAGTGTGCCACTGCACTCCAGTCTGGATGACGGAGTGAGACTCCAATTCAAAAAAAAAAAAAGGAAAGTGTAAGCTGAGCTCGGTGGCTCAGCCTATAATCCTGCGCCTTTGGGAGGCTGAGGTGAGTGGATTGCCTGAGCCCGCGGGTTCGAGATCTGCCTACGCAGCGAGACCTCCTCTCTACAATAAATCAAAAAATCAGCTGGGCGTGGTAGCGCATGCCTGTAATTCCGGCTACTCGGAAGGCTGAGGCAGAAGGACCGCCGGAGCCCAGCAGGTCGAGGCTGCGGTGACCAGGAGCGGCCACTGCACTCCAGTCTGGGCGACAGAGTGAGGCTCCAACTCAAAAAGGAAAGTGTAGTAGCTTGTGCCTGTAATCCCAGTGCTTTGGGAGGCCAAGGTGGGAGGATTGCTTGAGGCCAGGAGTTCAAGACCAGCCTAGGCAACATAATAAGACACCCATCTCTACAAAAAATACAGCAATTATCCAGGAGAGCTGGTGAGCACCTATAGTCCCAGTTACTCGGGAGGCTGAAGTGGGAGGATCGCTTGAACCTAGGAATTTGAGGTTACAGGGAGGTATGATTGCACCACTGCACTCCAGCCTGGGCAACAGAGGAAGCCCAGGTTCATAGCACTTGTCATCTGTGTCCACCCACTCCCCCATCAACTCATGGTCCTCTGGTTCCCCTATTGCCTATTTACACAGTTTCCCTCGCCCTGCCCGCACTCCAGGATACTGCCCGAAACTGTTCATTCAACAGACTTTAACCAGCCCTGACTGGGTGCCAGGCACTGCTTTGGGCTCTGGGAATGTGCACAGACCCCTGCCCTGTGGTACTGAGACTTAGCAGGGGGAGGGGGCACACATAAGGCACGTGGTCAATCAGTGGAAGCTGTCTGTCAGGTGACGGGCGGGGAGTAGGGTATCAGGGCTGTGGTTGGTGGGGGTTGGAATTTGAAATTGGTGACCAGGGTCAGCCGCCTTGAGACAGTGACAGACTAAAAAGGGGAGGGCTGTGGCCAGCGGGTCAGCCACAGAGTCTGAGCTGGAGGAGACCTTGGTGGTCCTCTGGGCCAACCCCTGAGGCTCAGAGGGGAGAAGCCAGATCTGAGCTGGAGGCAGGCCCAGACTTCAAAGCTGCTCCAGTTTCCATGGAGTCAAGGAAGGGGCAGACGCTCACTCTGGGTGTTGAGAGACAATGATGTCCCTACCCCTCCTCCTGTGGCTCAGGCAGAGACACCCCAGTCCCAGCCCTCTCTGCTGGATCCCCCCTCCACCTGTCAACCGGTCCTGAGCGCCAGCCAGGTGTGAGGCACACGTGAGGGTCCTTCCTGAAGTGCCCAGAGCCCCTAGGGTTGTGATCACTGGTTGTCGCATTGATCGATCTGGACTCCTCGTGACTCGACAGAGGGGCCCAGGTCTTGTCTTCATAGCCCGGTGCTCAGTGACTATATTGGTGAAATAGGAGGAAGATGGAATGCCTAGAGAGAAATGGATGAGACGGGGTCCCAGGGAGTGGGCATCGCTGAAACTGTCCTTTTGCAAAGTGCTGTCTCAGCGTGAGGAGAGAGGGCGGGAGGGAGGGGAGGGGAGTGGGGAGGCGGCTTCCTGAGTAAGACTTCCTCACAGCCCTGCTCAGTGACTCAGGCTGTAATCCCAGCGCTTTGGGAGGCTGGGGTGAGTGGATTGCCTGAACCCGCGGGTTCGAGACCCACCTGGACAACTTGGTGAGACCTCATCTCTACAATGAATCAAAAAATTAGCCGGGCGTGGTAGCGCG